AATAATAACACCCAAACATATGTATAGTATTACGCTAGAATATTTTTCATTATCGCAATATATTAATTACTTATATCAAAGGAATTGTAGATTATAGTATTATATATTATTATATGATAGTATTATTATTATATGTATATTATTACTATATAATATTATATAGTATCATAAGCTAATAGTGTTATATATTAAAATGTCCTCATTTTTGTGAGCACTTTTTACGTTCTAACAGGAAAAAAACGTTCAGTCACGTGCGACTGCTATGCACGTGAGCATAGCACACCTGTACATATTTTCCACAACTCTCGCACGCGGCTGATCTAGTCGCAACAGCGCGAATGGAAATTGTGCCATATTCGACAATGGATATACATTCATATATTTTATTATAAAAATATACACGTTACTATAGAATTTCTATGTATTATATTTCAGTTTATTTAAATTATACAAAAATATCATTACCTCAGTACTTCATATGAAACCGTTAATTACGTAAGTTATGATTTTCAGATCTTTTATTAACTGAACATATAAATAATACGATATCACATCATTAAATGAAACTAGTACCTAGCCCTTTGCGGACGAATGTCGGCAAATAGCCGCCCGAATCTGTTCACAGTTGCGGACGCTTATTATGAAATGGCTGGCGTGCATCTATTTTTCTCAGCGATAATCTTATGCGTATTTACACATGGGTATAGTAAACTAAACAGTACTATGTTTTTGATGAAAAAAAAAATGAGAGGTCTGTAGAACCTTTACCTATCATATCTTCTGTTTAACGTAAACTCGCGATGATGGTCGAGTTAGAACGAATTTCAGTCTTTCAATGGTATTCTCAGACAAATTAGCAAGCTTTTTACATATTTTATATATTTTTTATAATACCTTATACACGATGTCTAAAAAGTCCGGAAAGGATATGTTCGATAGTGATAGTAGTAGTGACGAATATTATTTTGAACCTGACAAGATAGAAGACGATAACAGTGCTTCAAACAGTGGAAGCGAACTCCGTTCAACAAGGAATCGGCTCAGACCTTTCAATATTTCCAGCGATAGTGATAGTGATTATGAACTAAATATCGATGAAAATAATACAACCCTCGACAATAAATAACGCAAACGTTCAACGTGTATATTTTCTCAACTATGCGCGCTAGTACGTTTCGTCCGCAGCGATGCTGCAGTCACGTACAAAAAAATTTTTGTTTATTTATTAAAATTTACAATCTTCAGTAATTTTTTCTGGCGTGACGCAGTGACATGGCTAATTATTTATAATAAGTTAATACTTATTATAGATAAGTATAATTTATAAGTAAGTATTATAAATAAATAAATATTACTTAATTTAGATAACTAATTGAATCTAGCGTTTAGGTCTAGTGGGTAGTGTCTCTTCAGCTTGCGGATCTGGTCCGACGTATCAAATAGTCCAGTAATTAGGGGGTTTCGATATTTGTTGATTCTTTCGCTATATCTGTCGCTATATTTTGCTATTTCCTCTTTGACTGTTGGTATCTTGAGGTCGCGATGTATTAGTTCGTTGGTGACATACCAGGGTGTATTTATAATGGATCTTAGTGTTTTCGATTGGAAGCGTTGAAATATTTCAATGTTGGAATTACTTGCTGTTCCCCATAGTTGGATTCCGTGATCCAGGTAGGTTTTATTACGGTCTTAAAGCGAGTAATTTTATTCCGTGTGTTCAATTTGGATCGTCGGCCAGCGAGCCAATAGAGTTTTCTGTTTGTCCTTTAGTTGTGGAAGTGGCGTCTAAGCATTTAACCATGAATTGTCTATTGGCTAAATTGCTTCGTTTTGTCTGTGATGTGGTTTTTCCAGGTTAGTCTCCTGTCCTGGGTCATGCCCAGATATCTGACTGTGTCCTCGCTAGGAATTGTTGTATTGTTGATGGTGACGTAGGGGCAGGTTAGTTTTCGGAACATGAAGGTTATATGTGAACGTAAAAATGACAGGAAAATAATAATAAAAAAATGTGGGGTTCTTGAACCAGAGTTCGAGGTACCTTTATTCTATAATAAGATTACAAGTGTGCGATTAGACCGTTACCGAAAGACTGAAGCCTCGATCAAGAACCAGCCCTTCTAGGTGTTCGTTTATCTTATTCCTACGTGCCGAATTTATATTCCTTTGTTTTGGGAATCGGTGTCGTGTGCAAGGCGGTTCAGGTTTCCTGAGTCGGTTGGAGATATTTGTTGACTTTACACTGCATTTGGCTCTTTTATTTATCTTATGAAATCCTTTTTACACGTTCTAAAGTACCTTATTTCTTTCATGCAACTTTTATTATACAGATTCTAAAAATGCCATTCCATGAGAACACTTTTTAAAGAAATCCCTAGAGATAAACGATATTTTTTTAATCGAAACATATAAATTCGAACAGAACTCTTTTAAAACCCAGAGGGAATTCCTTTTCTCAATCCCTCTTTCAGTTATATAAATGTTTACAATAGGATAAACTCAGGAGAGACACCACTGGCGTAAAGGCGCCTCACTCGTAATATCTTTTGATCGGAGAAAGAGAACTGTACATATTACGTTTTGTCATAACCTTATTTCTGTGCTTGAGAAAAATACTGCCTTATATACACAGGGTGAAATAAAGAAATGTTGACTTCAGGTTACATAGTACTTGCTAAATGATGAAAAAATGTCTTAATAAACATGGGTCGAGAAATTAACAGTTCCAAAGTTACGAACAATATTTTGTTTTGACTTTAGCGGGTAAATTTCTCGCCTCGGAAGCTATCGCATCATATGGAAACGATGGATTTTCTGTCTTAATATAAAATGCGAGTGAAATAGTACACGTCTAGGAAGTTTTGGAAGAGTATACAATTCTCTGATATGAGGGCGCCAAGCGTGTGTGGAAATGGAAGGAGGACGTGTAGAAAACCTTCTGCAACCAAGAAAAAAGAAATGACAATAGAAGGTAGTCCATTGTTTCCATATTCCATTTCTGATAATTTCCAAAGTGAGAAATTCACTCGCTTCAACTGAGACGAAAAACTATTTATAATTTTGGAGTTAATATTTTTTTGACTTATGTTAGTAAGGACATATTTTCATCATTTGGCAAGTACTATCTAACCTAAATGTTATAAACCCTTCTTCCGTATCATTCCGTGCTTTTCCGTGGTGCTTTTTCGTTAGTGTATTAAATTTTTAAAGTTTGCAACTTTTTAGAAATTTGTAAATATATGAATATAGTTAAAGCAATATATTTGGTTGGATGATTACAGTTTCATAGTTGTATAGATAAAGAGTAAATAAATTTTGTCTGTAATATCTTCAATAGTTGGGGAGATTGCAGTTTTTGAAAAAATTATAAATACATAAACATGGGAATGTATTTGATCGGACGATTAAAGGGTCTATACAGGGTATTTAGCTACGGATTTTCCACAATTTAAAAAGTGATTCTTGACACCGAAATAAGACGGAAATGAAGAATAAAATTGCATTTTCGGCTTTGTTTTTTAGTTATTGACAATTAAAAGTCGGCCAAAGTATCCCGCCACGCGAGCAAACCTCCTTACGAACATAAGGAAGACAGCTAAAACAGCGGGGCGCACAACGATCCTCAATTCGAACGACACATGGGTGACAGCTTACCTCGTACAAGTCGTAGAGAAAAAAACCATGGTATTCAGAGACGTAAAGTACCCCGAGCGATGTTTTGCAGAACAAATGGTAGATTGAAGATTAAATCTGCTTATTCGTGGAAATCCATAAGAGCATATGGAAAACCGCCCTATGAAATTTCCGGGTAGAGAGGATTAATGTTTCCTCTAATCCTTTATCTCTGCGAGTGTCCACAGCAAAATCACACAGGTACCGCAATTGTCCCGACCGCGAGTGTCCACCTGTTTCCAAAACAGTCAAATTGGTTAAGTGCTTTTGCACCGCGTTGATAGAATGCGGTGGTGCACATTTTCTTCAATACGATGCAGTATTCTATCTCCCAGATCCGGATCGTCGTGCTGAACTCGTCTGCCAAATTTCGCAGATTTTAACGCACCGATATCCCGTAATCGTTGGTCTATTTTGCAAAATACCTTTGCGCTGGTTATAGTCCTATTGGGATATTTTTTGACGTATAAACTTTGCGCTTTTGTGCTATTGCCATCCGCCGCATCGTAGTAAAGGCGCTTGTCCGAAAGTTCTCCAAATGTATTGTGGCGGCACTCGACAGTAAACCAACAGTTTCCAACAGTTTCTGCCCCGTGGCGCACGATACAAAGACCCTATTCCTGCTGACAAGATGATTGCCAGATGTCGATACATTCGTACCGAATATTTTCAGCTAGCCTAAGGGCCCGCTATAAATCTTAGGATTTATTTTAGCTAAGGTCCTCCAAAGAGACAAACAGTCTTTGTTTATCAGTCTCTAAGTCTACCTACTACGGGGACACACAAGAAATCTGCTTTCTCTCAAGGGCAGCTAGCATCCTTTTCCAACGACCAACACGAATTAGCCAATAAACATTGACGTACATTTCCCTCACTTTTCGAACCAAAGCTTTTCTCAACGAATCCGATGATCTCGCATCCTTAGACACACCCCATCACAGTTTTCCCTTGCAGCATCATCGTGACGGAAAGTCAGTCTATTACACGGAGTCGACACACAACGGTCATTGCAATTGCACGATCCGAGTCAATTATCAATCTAGGCTTTCGACATCTCGCGCAATTATCGTTCGCACTCGTAGCGCATATCGAATCATAGCTATCCGAGCTCGAACTTGTAACCGCGCACCGCGAACCGAATTTAATAACCGCGAATTTTGCGCCAAGTGTACCCATCGAACGTTACGGTTAATAAATATTTATTGTTGAATACATCTGAGTATTCTTTCTGCACCTACCACGACATCCCACCTCAAATTGGTGACCCCGACGTGATTTTCAGTGAAAGAGGTGACCGTGATAGTGCTTGTGAGACGTTAAACACCTTGAATTTAAGACAGCTCGAAATGACTAATAACGCCAAATCCAAACGTACGACGATCGGCGGGGACAACGTAGATTCAATAAATGCACTTCTGCGCGTGCCACCGTTCTGGCCTGATGATGTTGACTTGTGGTTCACGATGCTGGAAATGCAGTTCGAAGCTACCCGGATCAGGGGCGATCAGGAAAAATACCAGGCCGTTATCGCGCATCTCGACAAGTCGCACGCGAGATTAATCCGAGACGTATTCGACGCCTCACCGTCGATCGGGCGTTACGAGTACGTCAAAAAGGAGCTCATCAAGAGATTGGGAGAGTTGGACGCCAAGAGACTCCGACAGGTAATCAAAAAGGAACAAATAGGGGACAGGAAGCCCTCTCAGTTTTACCGGGACCTAAGAAGCCTAGCCACCAACTCGTTAGCAGACGATGTCATCCTCACCGTCTGGGAAGGTCGACTTCCGTCGCGCGTACAGAGCATCCTAGCCTCTGTACAGAGCAAAGACCCGGAAACCCGCATCCAAATCGCCGATAGCATCTACGAAGCCACCCCGGAACCAGGACAGATCGTCGCGGCCAGCGCAGTCCGACTACCTACGATAACCCACCCACCTGGTCAGAACAGCGGAATAGGCGACGCTATGGCAGCTGCCCTCAACACGATCAACGAGCGGTTAGCGCGAATGGATGCCCAAATAAGCGAGGTTCGAGCGCAAGTAGCCGAGCTAAGAATCAATGAACACCGTCGGACACGATCACAATCACGCTCGCGTACACAATTCCGCCGCCGTTCGCGCCCTCGCGATCCGCCGCGGCAAGACGGACTGTGTTACTACCACGCACAGTACCGAGAACGCGCGAGAAAGTGTACATTCCCTTGCTCTTGGAATTCGGGAAACGGGACCAGCCGTCCGTAAAAGCGGCAAACGACACGGTTCATCTCGCCGCATATTCGTAACGGACAAGAACTCGCGAATCTCCTATCTTATCGACACCGGCGCCGATATTTGCGTATACCCGCGCAACAAGTTACACGGACCCGTGAACAGAAGCGAGTACGAGCTGTTCGCGGCCAGAAAACGAGCAAGAAAACGACAACGAACTAAGCGACATCGTCAACTCCAACACAACCGCGTTACGGTTAAAGAAAATACGCTTTCCTGATCACGACGCAGAAATATATTGCGACGTATCAGACGACATTATAAGACCGTATGTACCGAAATCCTTGCGACGCGATGTATTTAATTCGCTCCACGGACTTTCCCATCCAGGGATACGTGCCACGCAAAAGCTGGTGACGTCGCGTTTCATTTGGCCGTCCATAAATAAAGATTGCTGGAATTGGGCACGACAATGTATCCCGTGTCAACGATGCAAGGTCACCAGGCACGTATCCTCACCCGTCGGAACGTTCGAAACTTTAGCAGGTCGGTTCGAGCGCATTCACATAGACATTATCGTGATGCAATATTCACAAGGCTACCGATATTGTCTAACGTGCACCGACTGTTTTCCGAGTTGGCCTGAAGCCATTCCCATCATCGATATGGAAGCGACAACCGTTGCCTCGGCAACTTATTGTAATAAATATACAGTAATATAAAGTATACTTATTGTAATAAATATAGCTAGAATATAAATACTGCTGCGCTGCATACAATACTCGCTACGCACACTGCACACACAATTCACCCAAGTAATACTCTAACTTAATATTTTAGTTCTTTGAAAGTTCCTCGTCGACCATCGGAATTATTCTGTTCTTCCAAAACTATTCTAGCCTCTTGCTTCAAAATGTCTAAAACATGGCAATGTAGGGTTGGAGAGTTTGTACCGAAAGAAAATTTATGTTACAAGGGTATGGTATTGAAGAAACGAGCAGGCTGTGCATCAGATATGTTTAAAAAGAAAGCCCAAAACTATTTTGCACAAACTTCGAACTTTATATAGCTGGATATTTATTAGAGATGGTTATTAAAAAATGGACTTTTTGGTTACCAGATGGATTTCGGAAATATCTCAATTCTTCAAACCTTATTGTCTTCACTTTTTGTGACCGAAGCGTGCCTTAAGCGTGGAAAGAAAAAGATTAGAAGAATTCTAAGAAAACTCTAACATGGAAAAAAGGACAATTATCGCATTTATCATTTATTTTGAAGCGAACGCTTTGACTATAGTCGTAGAATAATATAAAATATTGATTTGACATTTTGTAGGAATCGTTGAAAGACAGGCTATAACTTTTTCGGTAAATATTCACTTTTCATCACAAAATGTATATAGAGGCAATGAAACTGTATGGAAATACCACTGTGTGGTTTCATCACTGTCTATTTCTTACACCACTATATTTAGAGGTATAAACACATAATATTTAATAATATTTAATTTCAAAGGGTTGCCTAATTAACTTTGATCGCTGTGTGTTATATGAGCGACTCTGTCAAATAATATTATTTATATCTTGAACTGCATTTTTACATTCGCATTTTGAGTCGTTGACAAAATTTATAAGAAAACGTGATATGCTTAGGTTATTAATTGTTAGTAATAAACATACGAGAAAGTCTTTTACGTATACGCCACCACGTTTACGTGATCACACGCCATTGATTTATCACTACGACACTTGCGAAACTAATATTGGACTTTATTAAGTCTCTGTTGATAGAAGTAAATCCTTTCCTTAATCGTAGTGCTGCAGTGTTTCGTCTTAGAAATATAACGGAACTTCCAATATACACAGATTTACTATCGGAATATTCCATTATACAAACGTTCTATCAAGCAAAGGAAATATACTTTCCTTCTGTGTTTTGCTATTGTTCCGTCTGAAGGAACAAAAAACACGAAGAATTTCGTAGGCAATTTTACGACACATGCTTTCGAAGACACGAGACAATTTTTGAGTCAAGACGTTAGCACTTAAAACACTTTGTAACAATGCTTGTAATTTTCCATCGTCACAGTGTTCCCAACAACCGAACGTGTCATAAATGCGGTTATTTCCGAAAGGTCGTTAGCGAATTGTAATGGCCCGATCCGTCGAGGGCCTTTCGCAGGAATTTCCGCGACACTTACCTAATTGTTTCGAATTGAAGCCTCACGTTCGTCCAGGTATCGATTATCCGCTTCCCGCCGTGAGTTTCCCGCCGTGAGCTTCCCGCCGTGAGCTTCCCGCCAAGAGCTGTCCACGCTTCGAACGCATAGACATCGGCTGTATGTGTGGCATTTAACGAGTATGCCGATTGGACCTTTCTCGTGTTAGGTAACCAATCGATCAACATACATGTTTTTTGAACTTCACTCGGACCTTGCCGAACTATCGGTCGAATCGAGCAACACAGGATCGCTCGGGTTTCTGAGCCGTCCGCATTTCTCATTTTTTGAAGAAAATTTAGAATCGCTTCGATAATCAACTTATTAACATCGTTTTATCATTCGGAGAAGATCAAATACATTTTTCAGCAACGCTTATATTATATTTGAGTATCATCAACAAAAGCAATCGATTCGTACTTCTGTTTCTTTGTTACGATGCTCGAGTCAAGAGTTTTTCCAGAACGACATCGCCTTCAATCGGACACGTCGCACGATCTTCGTAGATAATCCATCGCTTCGGGGCTAATCCACTTCTTTCAATCTGTTGGCAAATATTAATTTGGCAGATAACAGGTGTAATGTATCGAGCAAACGACATAAACACGCACACATACTATAATTATCAAGATAAATACAAATGTATGTATGTAGTATATAGTAAGTACATAGATTATAGTACACCCTTCGATGAAACTGTAAAAAAGGCACGACCTCGTTAATTTGGATATCGACGATCGTTGGATATAATGTAGAAATTAACATTTTGAACAACTTCTTCCTAGATATGGAACTGTCTGACGACCATAGTTTTCCAAATATTTGCAACGAACTAACTACGTATCTACGATATGCGTTAGTTTGGTTACCGGCAACTTTGTAGTTGTCTTATCTTTTGTTTATGGTACATATAAACGAAACTCGGGCGAAATTGGGTAAAGCTCCGCACATAACTGCATACACAAGATTATATTTAGGAAATATCTGTTATAATCCAATTAAAAATGAATATCATCAATGCATTGGGTTTCACAATTATTCTTTTCGTAAAATAATACCAATTATTCATCCGTCTATTATTTTCGTAATTAACCTCGTAGGCACGATGCGCCACTATAGTGGCTTTCGCGGATATCTTATACTACGACGCGCCACTATAATGGCTCACTCTACTGACTCATTCGCTCACCGTTTGAATTAAATGATCTCTTTCATTTGCCTTGGTTCAGACTCTTTTTGCCCTCACAACATATTGTAACAGTGTTAACAATATACAGTGTTAACAATAGTGCTTTAAAATATGTCATACTCAATTGCATTATTAATTATTAAAGTTAATCATTGAAGTTAAAAAGTATATGCATCATATCTTTAAGAAAAATTATAATTTAATTATCAAAAACTTCATACCAATGTGTTTACGCAGAGAACAGGAATGCAGTGCTATATCGTTTACGCGTAATTCGCGTCAAACTCTGCCATACAGAGAAACAGCCCCGTGCAAAATTCAGCCGTTTCTAAGAGATTAATTTATTAGAAAACAAGGGTAGTAGCATAGTTTTTGCTTCTATATTTCTTCCTACAATCTGATTCCAAAGTTAAATCGCTCCAAATTCTTTCGTAACATATTCGTAAACTAATAATGGTATCTGTGATGAAAGCCGGAAGCAAAAGAAAAACAATCGAGTTTCACATATTTTATGAAAATAAGTCATTTTTGGAACTTGTACAAAAATAAGGGTAATATGGTCTGCTGACGAAAATCATAAAAAATCATTTTTTGGTAACATTTTGAGGTCGAAAGTAAACAGATAAAGCAAATTCTTCTGTTTATGCACAAAAATGACACACATTCTTTCTTTTCGCATGTTGTGCACTCACTATGAGCTCGCTGTAAGGCAAACTGACGTCGCCTTACGACCTTCTTTCCATTTCCTTCTCTCAGGTTGTAAAACCATAATTTTCTTTGATCTCGGATAAATATTTCTCCGAGGCATGTCTATACGATTATAACATAAAAACTGAAGTAACGTTGATATAACGACAATATGGCTTCCGATAGCCATATTGTCCTCTGTTATGGCTAGAGGCAATATATCAACATGCGTAGTCTCAAACACTTTAACTGTATTTTTGAAAATATGAAAAATTAGGTGATCGCACTTGTGCATATCGATTCTACGTACCTTTTATCAAATATATTCCACGCACAGTACTAAGACGCGCTTAATTTGTAGGAAATATTTTACTAAATGTACAGATCCAACTCAACCTCTCTGATTTTTTAATATCTGCTCAAGGGCATTATTTCAAATAAATTTTTTTTCAGACATACGACCGGTCTCGCGTAGTTTCCGACATATTTACAAAAAGCTACAATGTATTTTTGCCTATAGTTGCGCATCTGTGAAAACGCATGTATCAGTATTGTTTGCCAATCGCTGGCTGCTCATCTTTTGTTTATAAACAAGGGTCAGACAAGCAAGGCTTAAAGGCGCCGTACACAACGTGCGAGACTGTAAGAAATGTGTGTTATAATTCAATTAAAAGTGGATATCGTCGATATATTGGCCTTGGGTTTGGGCGAGACCCTTCAGACCCGATCATCGTGATGCGGCCGGTCATAAAGGCAATAAACAACAACACAGTTTGCTATCACTTTACGAATACATTGTCGGCCGAATTTAAGGAAGCTAACTGAAGCCTAAACACAATACATTAATGATATTCGCTCTCAGTTGAATTATAATTTGTAACAGACGTTTCTTGCAGCCTCGCATTGTGCACGGGGCCTTTAAGTTCTCCCGATTCTCGTTTGTAAACAGAAAATAAGCAGCCG